CTAGGTATTTACCTGTTTTTCCTAATTGTACTGGAATCTGTGGACCTCATTTTTAACAATGAGTTTAATTCCATATTATTTTTCCTTATTTCACAAAGCTTTTTCAAACTGATTGGTTGCAAATAGATTTATAGTTCTGTCATTTTTTGCTTCACATTTGATTTCTTGTTTGGTGTGTCTTTTATTTGATGCATATGAAGCGATCATGCCATGCAGAACTGCTTTTTTAGTTTCCCAAATAAGTATTTGGGGAATCATTTATGTCCACAAAGGATGTAATTAAGGCAAACAACAGTGTTCAAAAGGGTTGGGAGAATGGTGCATCACTCTTTACACTTTAAGTGTGACAAACATATTTAAAATAAAAAAAAACATTTAAAAAAAAAAAAGGGTGGGAGAGGGAAAATCAAATACTTTTTCACACCACTGTAACTACTTCACAGCTACAAGGAGCTCAGCAAGTATGATGGGTCTTGTTTGGTAGCAACATGTCATGTAACGACACTATATAGATTGTAATGATGACATAATTACATTTAAACAAAGGTTTAAATGTAATTAGTTTAAATCAACTAATCAAAACAAATTTTGATTAGTTGATTGGTGTTAGGAAGACAACTATAAGTGAAGTGCTGGTTTAAAATGAACATGTTTTTAAAATACAATTTTTATTCTCCTATTGTGTGTGTGTGTGTGTTCCTGTCTAGCTATCTTTATGACTGCTGATGTAAACTGACTATTGTAGTCAGCAGGTTGGAATACCAATTCAAATATCTTCAAAGGCACTTGGTAGAGCAAAGCACACCTCTACTACAGCTGTTAAGATGTTACCATCTGATGTTATAAGGGCAGAATGCTAATGCCTTTCAAGAAGTCTTAGGTAAATCGTCTTACCCTTGCTCGTAGGCTTGTGACTCCTCTGTGATCTCCGACGTTACCTCTCCATCATTCTCAGTCAAGTCACAGATAATGACATCATCAGACAGCTCGGAACCCTTTACGCCATTGATACTACTGACAGAGGACTTAACACGGGGCACAGAGAGATTCATGACTTTAGAAAAGATTGTTTACAGAGCTCTTACAACATGATATAATCAACATGCCAATGCTCAACTTTAGGACAACACACACACACACACACACACACACACACACACACACACACA